AGGGAGCCTGGGCGGAGCAGAGAACCAGGGTGGAGCCGGCGAAGCAGGGAGCCAGGGCGGAGCAGGAAGCCGGAGTGGGGCCTGTGGAGCAACTGGAGCTGAGGACCACCACAGCAGAGCAGACGGGTCCGAAGATCCCCACGGTGGAGCAGAGGACACCAGAGCAGGACAGAAGACCACCTCAGCTGAGCAGACAGAACAGAAGACTACCACGGCGGAGCAGACGATGCAAGAGACCACCACGGAGGAGCAGACAAAGCAGAAAACCACCAGGTCGGAGCAGAAGACCACCACGGCGGAGCAGACAAGACGGATGACCACAAAAGCGGGACTGAAGATGACCACGACAGACCAGACAGATCAGGGACTCCTGGCAGAGACTGGGACCTAGGGAAAACTGAGATACGAGAGACAGGCAGTGCATTCACGGCATCAAGGATCAAGGCAGGGAACACAAAAAGTTAATCAGTAGTCTCCCTGGTGACTACTGAATGGGGACTGTTCATAAACCGGCTCACTGACTGAAAACGGATAGGCAGACAGTTCCAAATCTGGCTTATTGACTGAAACTGGACAGGAAGACAGATCACAAACAGATTCATGGGTTGATATGGGATAGACTGACAGTTCAAATTGGGTGTATTAACTGAAACTGGACTGGTAGACATTTCAGTGAATGAAACTGGACAGACAGACAATTCACACTGAGATCCATTAATTGAAACTGGACAGACAGATGGTTCAAAATCAGACTCATTGACTGAAACTGGCAAGACAGATAGTTCAGGATTAGACACACTTGGGGAAACAGAACAAGCAGACAGTTCCTGAATGGTCTCTATGGCAGTGACAGGGTTGACAGGAAAGACATGGGGTGCATTTATAGTTTCTGGGCTCATGTCAGGCAGGGTTAAGGGTTCAAAGGCAGGTTTTTGGGCTGTGACAGACAGTTCACAATCAACCCCCATGGCTGGTTCAGAACAGGACGAGAGTTCAGAGATGGCCTCCTCGGCTGATTCAGAGCAGGACAAAAGTTAATAAGTGGCCTCCGTAGCCGTGACAGGACAAACAGGGAGTACACAGATGGCCTCCATAGCCATTTCAGGACAGGCAAAGGGATCACAGACGGCCTCCATAGCCGTGCCAGGACAGGTAGCGAGTTCATGGGTTCAGTAATGGTCTCTTCGACCACGACACGACAGGCTGTGAGTACATTGCTGGGCGCCACCACCACGCAAAGAGTTGAAGCGAGCACCGCCGCCTCAGGAGGTTCTGCAGCATATGCCGCCACCTCTGGAGAAACTCCAGCGGATGCCATGGCTTCGGGGAACACAGCAGTGAGTGCCACTACCTCAGGAGGTTCTGCAGCATCAGCCGCCACCTCTGGAAACATCACAGTGGACGTCGCCACCTCGGGCAGGTCTGTGGTGGTGTACGCAGCCCAACATGGGAAGCGTTTCAGACAGGGGAATCAGTTCAGGAACAGGAGGGTTAGAGTAAGTGGGTTTGGGGATACCAGCTGTGCGTGCAGACATCAGCGGTGCATCCCTCACACTGGATACCAGACTGGGATATCGAAGGACTGACCTTAAAGATCTGGGTGCAACAGAAGTGACGTGACTCTGGATGATTAGCTGAGACGTGACGTGACTCTGGATGATCAGCTCTGATGTGATGTGACTCTGGATGAACAGCTGAGACATGACGTGACTCTGGATGAACAGCTGAGACGTGACGTGACTCTGGCTGATCAGCGATCAGCTGTGATGTGACGTGACTCTGGATGATCAGCTGTGATGAGACGTGACTCTGGTAGATCAGCTGAGGCGTGACGAGACTCTGGAAGATCAGCTGTGATGTGACGTGACTCTGGATGAACAGCTTAGGCGTGACGAGAGTCTGGAAGATCAGCTGTGATGTGACATGACTCTGGATGAACAGCTGAGACGTGACGTGACTCTGGATGAACAGCTGTGATGTGACATGACTCTGGATGAACAGCTGTGATGTGACGTGACTCTGGATGATCAGCTGTGATGTGACGTGACTCTGGATGAACAGC